ACACACACACACACATATATATATATATATATATATATATATATATATATATATTACTACACAGTCTGTTTGGAAGTGATGGACTTTTTAAAAATAAAAACCTAAGACTTGAAACCCTTTCACTGGGATTTTCCTTGTTTTTGAATAGACTCCTGTTTTGTTCAGGTTTTATCTTTTGGAGTAGGAGAGCAGTTAGCATTGATGTTTGATACAACTCTCCATGTCGGAAGATCTTTCTAGGTGGATATCTGAAACCTTCATGTAACAAGGAGCCAGTTAGGAGACACTGCTCCAGTTCAACCCCAGAATTCAGTAAAGATGTCATTCATTTGAAAAGGAGCTACATGGCTCTTTCAAAGAAGGGCAATCTGCATTGCCAGCCAGCATCGTCTTGCTCTCCCCAGAGTTGGGGTTCAAGAGTGCAGCCTGCACATCGTATAGGAGACATAGCCAGAGTGGAGTAGTTGAGGTGGCGGCACGTGTTGGGGAGAGGTTTATTTGTGGGTATTGAATTAAAATCAGCATCTGGGGGGTATTTTCTTCCCTTAGCACCTGATCCAAAGCCCATCGGAGTCCGTGGGAGTCCTTCTATTCATTCAGTGAGCGTTGGATCAGGACATTAGGACACACCCAGAGCTCCAATTTCTGTTAATGGGACTTGCACAAAGACATCAAGTGTAGATTCTAAACCAGTGTTTCACCATGGATTAATTATGTGGCAGAAGGCGCTGCAGCCAGGCACTCTGCCATCTGCAAGTCAAAACAAGATGTAAGCAATAGGTAACTGCGGTTTTGTAATGCATTTTAATACCAAAAAACCCTTGATTTTTATGTCTAAGCATTCTTGGATTTATTTATTTTTTTCTTCCTTTTAGGTATAAATGTCACTCGCACGACTACATTGGGTGAGTTAAACTTTTAAATTGTGTGATAACCCTTTTTAATTACACTTTTTAAGCTTTTTAACGGTGCAATCAAGTTCTTAATCATTACTAAGTTAGCTGTTGTAAAAAAATCCTACAGTTGATCTGGTTAGTGTTTATATATTGTGCCCTTTAAATTACATATAAATAGTGCTATGATTTTCTATTTTTGTTTATATACTATTTGATTGGTTTAACCACCTACTGATTTGGATTAATCTGATTTCATGACAGGATTCATTATCTTGGAGGTGAAAGAGCATATGGTATTGCTAGAATGGCCCCAAGTTGAGCACACTATAGTCTAGATTGGTCTCTAGCTTCTATATGTGCCTCCTTCAGTTGCTCATGATTTTCTCAAACAAATTTCTTGTGTGTGGGTGGGGGAACACTGAATAGAAACAGCTGAGTTATTTTTGAGTTTTTAATCGGGGGGGAAAAATCTTACATGCTTCCCTCTATATGTTCTGATTAAACATTTTGTACGGTGACTACTCAAATGACTGGAGCTACAAAGTTCAGAGTTGCTCTCTTTTGTATCTTTGGATCTCACTGAAATCCAAGGAATAAGCCAAGTTTCAAGAAAATGGTTGAATAATTTTAAAATTTGGAATATATGTTAATTTTGTCTTTTTCATGACTGAATAACTGCCATCAGTAATATGTTCCATTTCTGTTTTCTCTGTTGTGAAAAGTACAATGAATATCGTTAACTGACATGCATTAGTATAAGAAATCCATCCTTTATATTGTTTTATTTTTTATTCCAAATGACTTCAGCACACTTTTAAAACACAAGAATCACTTCACCCACCACTGAAATTCAGACATCTATGGGGGAGACATCACCGTTATTTATTGTTGCATAGGAACATCAGGTCATGAGCTGAAGAATATTGTAGCCAGTTATACCTTCGGGGGGAATTTAGGCAAAATTTAGGTAGCCACATTGAAGACTATTGCCCCATATCACTCCTCAATGACCACAGTTGGACACATCTCATTTACAAGGCAGGACCTTCAGAAGCATAGTGTCCCCATCACTGGGTTAGGGCATTGGGTCTGTACTGATTCAGAGGGAAGAGTTACCTTGCTTATAGCCAGACTGAATTTGTTTCTGGCTGTTGTGGGTAAGCACTATAGACTCATGCCTATAGCCTCCAGCTTCAGTGGCATCCGTGCACTCCTTAGACTGATGATATGAAAGCAGGTGTAGTTGTCATCAGGGGACAATTTGCTCTGCAGACCATCTATTACTGGTAATGATGGGCTTTTGTTTGACTCTGGATTTTGACTCAAGATCTACATTAAATTCTGGCTCTGTGACAGATTGCCTGTGTAGCCACGGGCAAGTCAATTTCCAACCAGTGCCTTGGTTTCACATCTGTAAAATTTGGACAGTGCAACTTCTGTACCATACAGATGTGTTATGAGGATAAATTCAGGGTATCATCCAGATACTATGGCAATGGAGGCCATGTAAGTATCTGGAGGCATGTAGTGGAGAGAGCACTGGACTAGGATTCTGGAGACCTGGGATCTGTTCCTGGCTCTGCCACTGGCCTGCTGGGTGACCTTGAGCAAATCACTTTCCTGCCCCATGCCTCAGTTTCCCCATCTGAAAAATAGGAATAATGATACTGCCTTCATTTGTAAAGGGCTTTGGGATTTGATGATGAAAAGTATTATATAAGAGCTGGGTAAGAACCGAGCTCAACTGTCAGAGCCCAGGGTGTAATGTGGCAAGGAGAAAGGGCATGGGTGACAATCCAGTGAATGCAAGTGTGTGTTGTCACCAGTTGTTTTAATCATGCTACCACCCAGTAGTTGTGGCTCTGTCGAGTGTGTTTAAGACCTTCTCTTCAAAAACAAGGCCAGCAGAGCCAGCCGGTGACCAGAGACCGGAGCCAGCTGGTGACCAAAAAGTCTGAGGGTCCCAAAGGTATCTATCTCATAGCTTACACTGGAAACAGTGGTCCTTGCCAGTCCACCTACCAGCAGTATGAGCCTCATCCCAGTTTACTCCACTTTACTGGATTATAAGGAACAAAGCTCAGCAACCCTTCTGGTAGCTCAGCACTACTTTTTGTCAACCCTTGTCCCCTCCCCTGCAGGTTCAAGCCCTAAGTGAAATCTTAAATACTACCTATGGTAAGGGCTGTTCTGAGATTTACAGATGATTGTGCCATTTGGAGGGTTTGCATATCATTTTTAAAATGTGTTCTGTATTTTACTTAATGTGTTTTACACATGCTTCAGAGAGGAGCTGAATTTCCTAATTGCTACAAGGTAAGCACATGAATGGAACAGCGCCAGATATTTAATCTGAATGAATGTTGCCTTTGAACTGCATATGAGGGATATGATGTGCCATCTCACAGTATCAAAGGAGAGTGATACATCTTATTTATTATGGGGATGGTGTAGTGTTCTCTACCATATATTTTCTAACATTTTGATGAGTCCAGTTTTAAATTTCTCAAGGAGTAAGGTTTCTACCACTTCCCCTTTAAAGTTTATTTCACAGTCTGGTAGATCTGTACTGCAGCCTCTCAATTCTTTTTCTTGTTCTCAGCTGCATTTGAAGCAGTGCTACTCAATCTTTGGGAGAACCTCATTCCTAAAATCAAAATGTGGCTTCTCAAGTTTTAAATAAAACTTCTCTGTAAGAATGACATTCTGTAAGAGGTTATATGGCGCTGAACAAGGAGTGGAATCCTGGGTCTAATATATATCCGATAGGTATACTTTTGTGCTGTGGTTTCAGAAGTGATACAAAAGACAAGCCTTGTGGATAAGGGGAAGTGGCAGATATGGTATCTCTTGACTTTGATAAGGCTTTTGATACTGTCTCGCATGACCTCTTAAACAAACTAGGGAGATGCAACCTAGATGGAGCTCTTCTATAAGGTGGGTGCATAACTGGTTGGAAAACCATTCCCACAGAGTAGTTATCAGTGGTTCACAGTCAAGCTGGAAGGGCATATCAAATGGAGTCCCGCAGGGATCAGTTCTGAGATTGGTTTGGTTCAATATCTTCATGAATGTTTTAGATAATGGCATAGAGAGTACGCTTAAAAAGTTTCTAGACGATACCAAGCTGGGAGGGGTTGCAAGTGCTTTGGAGGAGAGGATTAACATTCAAAATGATCTGGACAAACTGGAGAAATGGTCTGAAGTAAATATGATAAAATTCAATAAGGACAAATGCAAAGTACTCCACTTAGGAAGGGACAATCAGTTGCAACATACGAAATGGGAAATGACTGCCTAGGAAGGAGTACTGTGGAAAGGGATCTGAGGGTTATAGTGGACCACAAGCTAAATATGAGTCAACAGTGTATCACTTTTGCAAAAAAGCAAAGATCATTCTGGGATGTATTAGCAGGAGTGTTGTAAGCAAGACACAACAAGTAGTTATTCCACTCTACTCTGCACTGATTAGGCCTCGAGTGGAGTATTGTGTCTGGTTCTGTGTGCCACATTTCGGGAAAGATGTAGACAAATTGGAGAGAGTCCGGAGAAGAGCAACAAAAATGATTAAAGGCCTAGAAAACATGATGTATGAGGGAAGATAGAAAAAATTGTGGAACATGGTAACAGTTTTCAAGTACATAAAAAGTTGTTGCAAGGAGGAGGGAGAAAAATTGTTCTCTTTAACCACTGAGGAGAAGACAAAAAGCAATGTACTTAAATTACAGCCAGGGCGGTTTAGATTGAATATTAGGACAAACTTCCTATCAGGATAGTTAAGCACTGGAATAAATTGCCTAGGGAGGTTGTGGAATCTCTGTCATTGGAGATTTTAAGAGTAGGTTAGACAAACACCTGTCAGGGATGATCTAGATCAGTGGTTCTCAACCCATGGCCCACTTACAGCCCAATCAGCACACAGCTGCAGCTCATGTGACATCATCAGGGCTGAAACTAGGGTGGGGCATGAGGGGCACCTGCCCCAGGTGCAGAGCTGGCGGGGAGGGTGTAAAAATGCGGAGATGCAGGATCAGGCCCAGTGGCGTCAGCCCCCCATCCTGGCAGGATTGGGCGCAGCAGCATTAATATGCTCAGCGCTCTCACACCCTGCAGAATCGTGGGTTCAATGACATCGGCTGGAGTAGGCTCCCCAGCCCTAGGACAGCAGGAGCGGGCAGGCTGCATGGCTGAGCTACCTGCTGCCGAGGTAGGAGACCAGTGATCGCGGGGGTGTAGGGAGGAGGGGGCGGGGAGCTGGGAGGAAGATGCAGGGGGCTAAGATCACAGGAAGAGGGTGCAGCTGGGTCATGGGGGACAGACTCTAGGTGTAGGACTGGTGGCTGGCAGCAGTCCCTGAATGGGGCGCTAGATATTGGTGCACAGTCCCTAAATGAGGGGGTGGAGAGCTGAGGGGCAGTCCTTGGGGAGGCTGGGTGTCCCTGGGTGGGGGATGGGATGCTGGAGGGGGCAATCCCTATGAAGGGGGGCATTTTGCCCTGGACAGGGCACCCTGGCTCTACAGGGCAGGTATGTGTGCCAGCCCAGTGTTGGTGGGGTCTGGATGCTGGGGTTGGGTGATGGGGTGGTATTACTTGGCTGAGGGCAGCCTCTGGGTGGAGGGGGCTGGGTATATGGAGGAGAGTCCCTGGCTGTAGGGTACCCTGCATCAGGCAGGGTTCCCCATCTTTGCAAGCAGGCTCTGCACCCGTGCTCTCCGGGTGCTCAGCACAGCCACGCTGCCAGAAGCCCCACCGAAGTGGGGGTGGTAATACACCAAGCAATGCGACCCTTACAGGAAATTAATTGATTTTAACAGTTAATGTTTTGACTCATTTTGCTGATTTAAAATGCTCTGGGTAGACATTTGCCAGCGTTGAAATGAAAGATGTATATCGTATTGCTGTCATATAGCAAATGCTAAACCTTTTTGGTAGCTGTACAGGCAGGATATATATTGTGTGAATGTGGCCCACATAACACAGAGAGCTGCATATGTGGCCCACAATGGTAAATAGGTTGAGAACCACTGCTCTAGATCAGGGGTAGGCAACCTATGGCACGTGCGCCAAAGGCGGCACGTGAGCTGATTTTCAGTGGCACTCGCACTGCCTGGGTCCTGGCCACCGGTCCAGGGGGCTCTGCATTTTAATTTAATTTTAAATGAAGCTTCTTAAACATTTTTAAAACCTTATTTACTTTACATACAACAATAGTTTAGTTATATATTATAGACTTAGAGAAAGAGACCTTCTAAAAACATTAAAATGTATTACTGGCATGCAAAACCTTAACATAGAGTGAATAAATGAAGACTCGACACACCACTTCTGAAAGGTTGCCAACCCCTGTTCTAGGTAATACTTAGTCCTGCCATGAGTGCAGGGGACTGGACTAGATGACCTCTTGAGGTCCCTTCCAGTCCTATGGTTCTATGATTAATTAAGATTTGTCATGTTGAAAACTCTAAAATCTCTGTCCTGCAAACACTTGCACAAAGCCCTGAATCATGAAAGCACTTAAGCACCTGCGTAACTTCAGCAGTAAAGCATGTGCTTAAGGGCTTTCCTGATTGGGGTTACTTTCCTAAATTGAGGTCATAATTAGGAGTAGGGTTGGGCACAGAAATCTCTGTATATAAACAGGGTTTGACACACCTGCTATGTAAGTAGAGTGAGTATCATCTTCAAGAGGAACTTATGAATTTAGGAATAATCGCTGAAGCTTGTTGGAGTTTTGCCATAGACTTTAATTGGAGCAATATAAATATACTGGTATTTTATAGTAAAATTGTTTTTCAAGGCCAGATTCCTATCACATTTAGATCATTGTAAATACAAATTAATTCTATTGAATTCAGCAGAGTCTCTGAAGTACACTTGTGAAATTGATCAGAATTTTTCCTCTTTTTGGGTGGGGAGGGGGCTTACAACCATAATGTTTGTATTTACAATATTCTCACCTAATGGACATGAGCATAATTGAATTCACAAGCGCTTTGGAATTCAGATGTTAATGGGACACAGATGAAAGTGAACAATTGTTGCTAACAATTTGCAGAAGTCAAACCCACCTCTCTTCTGTTATGGCTCTGAGCTCAAGTAAAGAAAAAGCAGGATGAAGAAATGCATCATGCATAATGAACTTCCAAATGTGGGCTCTAGCTAGGCACAGGACAGAGCAGATTACACAGCAGAGGGCCCTGTCACCCACTTCTGGAGGTCAGCACTGGGGACTAGCAGTTTAGGAAATGCACGTGGGTAGGTGGCCTCTGAGACCCGATAACAATGTGCTGGAGCATAGGTGCCTGTGGGAGCAGAACAACACCCAGAGTGATTAATGTGATTCCTCCTTTCTGAAGGGACAGTTTTGTGAAGGAGCAAAAATAGCTATTTTTGACATAGGGAATCTTTCAAAATAGTGTTAATCAAAAGCTGCAGTTTCATTCACAATTAGCATCTTCTTTTTTAAAATATAATTTTCCATGTGATATCATTATTGTACACTGTTTATAGGTTCTACCAAAACAACCGCCACCCAGACCACCACCACCACCACCACCAACCTGACAACCACCACCACCAACCTGACAACTATATCAACCACCACCTCAAAACCCACAACAACCATACAGTCAACAGCCAGTGTCACAGTGACCACTTCCAAGACTATGTCTCCTTCCAGCTCCATAACAGGTACGTACGATAGACTGCTGCCTATTTCCCACAGTGTGCTAACTTACATTCTTCTGTTATCTGCATTGCTCTGCAATCTTGAAAGCTTGCTCTAAGTATCTCTGGTTATTTTAGCATTAGGAAAAGGCCATTTGACCCAATGTGCATTTGAGATTTTTAAATGGCACAACATGGTTATGAATTCATATTCAGGAAATAAACATGCCAGACTTGCAGCTAATTGTAGTTTTACCTGATTGGGCATTTTAGACCTGTTTTTCCATTGTTTACGACCTGTAGCATTCAAAATTTCCTTAAAAGAAAGAAGAATCTACTGAGTTATTGATGTAAATCTTGAGTAACTCCACAGAAAGATTTACACAGGTATAATTGAGGTCAGATTCTGACCTGTCAACACTTAAATAAGAAGGAAGTTTTGTTAAGATGACTTAAGAACGTAGGACTCTAAGTCAATTTTGAAAATGTTACCTGGGACTTTGAAATGGGCATCCTACTCCTTTAAGACATTTTGAAAATCCAATCCTCAAGCTAATGTAAGGACAGTGTACTCAAAGGTTAATGTAAGATTTGATTGTTTTTTTGTTGAGGTATTAGGGGATGGAATTATATCTCATACACTGTTAGTGGTGACTCAGTTAGTTCAGAGACACTTGTGTTTTACAAGAACAGTTAACTGATATGATGGCTTGATTGTTCATGATGGATTAGATCGTTTATACTGACCTACCAGTAGGGTACTTTTTTAGCAGCTGTTCATCAGACCTTCATATGACCAAAATATGTCCTCTCTCTACTGCTATGAAAATTGAAATTGAAATCAACAAATACATCAGTACAAACATAATAGGTAACAACTGTGCATTGGAAAGGTGACACACATTAGATAACATAATAAGTCTCTCTTATCTCCAGCTTCTGTTATTCTTTGATACCAGCCAAGCCAGTCACACTTGTTGAGTTCAGTTAGTTGATGACTTACAACCTCCAGATGCTGGAGAAGAATTTCCAAGAGTTATCTCTGTGCCTATAACAGGGAAAAAACTGTAACGACAACACCATCTTACCATCTTGCAACAGTTATACAGTTAACTAACATCTGTTAGTGTGCTGGCAGTGAAGCCAAGAAAGACTCTACTTGTTGGCTAAAAAGATAAGCCATTCTCTCTTCTAAATGAGAGCCATGTTGGGTAAAAGCCTGTTATAGAAGACAGCAGGAACTCTGCAGGAGGCTAAAGAACTCCTTTTCTGTATTTCTGTCATTCCTTCAGTTCTGTTTTCTTTGAAGGCAATAATTCAGTTTGGGAGAGGATTTCATCATAAGCCCCAAATCTAAATTTCCAGTTGAACTCAACTAATAATCTAAATAACCTCTTTTTGCCCAATACAGCTCCTGTGCATAACAATTCCATTTAGGAAGTATAGGCCCTACTGAGCTTATTTAACACCATGTCCCTGGATCGGTCATTGGCGGCAGGGTTGAATTTGGGACTGCTAGATCTAAACACATGAGCCTCTAATGCCTGAGCTGAAAGATCTGTTAGCCAAGACTGTAACAGACTCGTGAACCCCTGTGTGTGGCCAGGCACCAGTAGAGGGGGACAGAGTGCCACACTGAGTGAATTACACTTCACATCTGACAACCTTTACTCATATGAATATAAAGCTGTCAGGCAGTGTTTCCTAGCAGGCATCTGCTGATCCAAGCCACTTTCATCATTGACACTTATAAACAGATCATGTGCTTCAAGTTAGGTGAAGCCTTTTAACGTGGGAAATGCCTGTTAACCTCACTAGGTGCCATGGCACATTTAGTTGGCCACATCAGCTCAAATTGCATCTTTTGATTGGGATGTTCGATTGGTTAAACCATTTGGGGATTGGAATCTGCCTGGGCGAAGGTGAGGGGTGGGTTACCCAGGCGCATTATCTCTGGGGCAGGAACCTGTCATAGGTGGACGGTGATTGTGCAGGTTTCTGTTGGGCTGAATAGCTGTATCTACAGGTGGGAAACCCAGTTTTCCTAACCCACTGAGTTAGGAGTTAATGCTATGAGTCTTGATTCAGGTGGACTAGTAGTTTCTAAGGAAAAGTGTGTGGTAAAAATATATCATAGCGCAGGAATCTATGGAAATGAATATTCAATTATGATTGATCGGTTTGTTTGCTGTTCCAAAATTCCAGCTCTCCTGTGGATCTCTGGAAAGCACCAACCTTGAAGAGAGTTTGTCACGCTTTCCACTCCATGCCTGGCCAGCTCCACTGACTGGGGCAGAAAGAGGTGTGGGGGTAGAGGGAGTTGCCTGCCAATTGGACTCTTGCCAACCCGTGTGCAAGTGTATAAGGGAGGAGAGTGGCTCCTAGTGCCATCCTCACTCATTTTATGTGCTGAAGCTGGCCAGAATCCGGCACTTAGGAATGTGGCTCTGGGTTCCAGTGGAGTTGGTTGATATTTTACCAGCAGCACGGTATAAAGTTGTCATCTGAGGTCCTCAGATGATGTGATGATTGGGCAGAGAGTATATAAGAACCTAGACAGAGAGATCTACAGTCTCAGTACATTACATCCAAAGTTACAAATGTCATAAAAACTGTCTTTTTGTTTTCTTCTTAGCCACGCCAAAATCTGCAACTGTGCTAGCCAGAACTTCCAGATTTGATGTGGGCAGTTTTTTCGGTGGCATTGTGCTGACACTTGGAATGTTAGCCATTCTCTACGTTGGATGTAAAACATATCACTCAAGAAGAGGTGTTCAGTACAGAACCATGTAAGTTTTTTGGAGGCGTGTTCCCCTGTTAATTTGTTGGTTTCTTGTTGGAAATGAAGAGAAGAAAATGCTCTACTTTCTTGCTCAATGGAGATTTTTTTTAAAAAAGGCAGGTCAGTATCTCAGCCGCTTAGAGCCTTCATCAGTGTCACCTCCTCAACTGATCCTTATTTATTCATGGGGCCTATCTTTATTGGGGATTTTCTTGCTTAGATTTTAAGCTACTTGTTTGTACTGTGCCTAGCACAATGCACCATTATGCTAGGCACTGCAATAAAACAAATAAATAATAATTCTAATCTGTTCTGTAAAATCCTTTCTTACTCCCCTGCCCTTTGGCTAGTCTAAATTCATTCATTCTGCTTTTTTTGTTGTCCTTGTTTATGTCTGACTGATTCTAATCTTGTTCCACTTCCTTCTCCATTTCCACTACAGGGTTAGGGTTGGGTTTTTGGGGGGTGGAGGGGTTAACCCTCAGATCTTTTGAGAAGTTCCTCAGAAAGATATATTGATCATCTCTTGTTCTCTGCTTTCTTCTTTTGCGTATTACTGTTATGCTGTAATTGTGCTGCCTTTTAGAACTTCCAGCCCTCTTTCAGAATTTTGCATGTTAATATTTACTAGAATTCTTCACTGCTGAATATTTCTTCCATGAACTCTGATGCCTGAAGAATTCTCTCTCTCACCCAGACCCTTATCTCTCTTTCACATCCGCACACTCACCAGTCCTATCATTTCTTGGTTTTCTGCATATAGCTACTCTTCCTCTACTTTCCTCTCTATCCCTCCTGTACTTATTGTACCCATCTGTGGTGACATTCCAGTAGCTGTATGGTCAATAAATAATCATTTGTCGGCACTTTTATTTCTTCTTCTTAGTTTCTCATTCCTTTCCATCTGCATATAGACTCTTTTGATAGTATTTTTTCTTATTCTTCATTTTCTGTAGTAGAGCAATTCCGCTTTCTATGTTATCCTGGATGTGTTGGATTCACATATCAGATTCTTGGAATTAAATTATCCCTCTTTCCCCCTTACAATCTACCATAATTTACGGACTGGCTAACAAGCCAGTTTTGAATCCAGGGTTTATTACCCCATCTGCTTAAGCAGAGACTGTCTAAATCAGTCACCCCTCATCACAGAAAGCATTCCAATGATCTATAGCCAACGTTTACAAACTTAAGCCTAACCTGGGGCACTCATGTTTGAAAATGTTGAAGTGAACCTCAAATCCTCCTCTCTACAATACAGGCGCATCTCCTGGTTTGTCGCCTATCTTTCTCTTGACTCTGCAAGAGATCACATGTATTGAGTCTGCCTTCAGGTCTCTTCCCAAATCCCTGAAGTCAGATAACTTGGTCTTTTGTTTCTTACCTAACACTCCCTTCACTTGTTCCTGTATGGGTTAGAGTTAGTGGAAATGCCCCTATCATTTTCTAGGTTTCTCATCACATTCATTACCAGATCATAGAATCATAGGCTTGGAAGGGACCTTGCGACGTCATCTAGTCCAGTCCCCTGCACTCTTGGCAGGACTAAGTATTAGGATCCTTCATCCTGATACCTGTTTCTTTATATGGGTCACATCTTGGGCTGGGTTCCTTGCTGTAGAGTCACTAATTAGGATCACTTGTCTCTGCTTTATTTTTTAATCCCATGCAGTACTTGTTTCTTAGTCACTGATCAAGCTACTGCATATTTTTGGTTTATTAGTGGTATGTTACTCCTTCTTGTAGGGGAACAATAGCTATTTTGTCAGGACATATTTCAACTGTATAGGTTCAGAGGATGTCTTCTGCTTTTCTTACTAAGCTGCCTTCTCTCTTTTTCCATTGTGCACTACTGTCCAAACTGTAATCTCACCCTGGGGTGTTAGACCCTCTGGGATAGAAGCTGGAACGTCTTTACACTGGATTGCCTTACTCCCTATGGTTTCCATTCTCCATGTCAGTTGAAGGTGTTTGTTAGAACTTGATAGTGTCAAGGGATTCTGGTACATCTCCCTCTTTTGAATTCTGTTTGCTAGTCTCAGGATCCATTGAGTCATGGCTCCACCCCCTCATTATCAACACTGACTCTTCCAACACCGCACTGTTCATCCAGCCTCCACCAGCCCCCTCCAAACAAAGAAGCACATACAAGAGTCATCAACTGGCTCTTATTTTCAGCCATTCTTTCCCCAGTATTCCAACCCTAAGCATTCAAAAGTCATGTTTCAGCCCCCTTTCCCCCCCAAGATCATAAGATTAACTTAAAATCAATAATTTTAAAAAATGGACATTGTTTTTATTTGTCTTTTTGTTTTTTGAGTCTTTTGATTAGTGCTTTTTAACTTTTTCTCCACAACAATAAGGACTAGAAATATCTTTGTTTACAAGGAAAGCTGAGATGCCTCATGTACTCACATGACTCCAGGCTTTGAGAATAACATGATATCTTGTGGAAGTCTTCATGAAATTGGGAGTTGGCAATGCTGCTTTTGAAAGCATTGTAGTGTTAGTTGCCCCTGTCCTTTCACAAGAATCGCTCTACAGGATACTCCTCTCTGATTTTACTCTCCTCCGTTTTTAAAAACTGTCTTGTCTTTATTTTTCTTGTTAGACCTGTATGGACACTTAGGAAATAATGACCACATTGTCAAAATTGCTATTGATAAAAAGCAGGTAAAGTGAGGTACTTGATCAGTTGGAACATGTGATATACCAATTAGTGAATCTGAGTGAAATGCACCGTGGAAGTTAAGAGCTGGTTAATGAACCTATCAAACGAGTAAAATCTATTTTGAAAGGGGTGTGGATAACTGAAAAAGCATTAGACAATTAGGAGGAAAAAACAAGTGTTTCTCAGAAGTGATGTCCTGGTAGTTACCATTTGGCATCTTTAAATCCAAATGTTAGGAAAATCTAGAAGAAATTGGAGAAAATTATAAAGAACAGATATCAGGGGTCTTATTTTCAGAGCAACTGGGCACTAGCAGCTCCCTCCTGGACTTCAATTGGAGTTTTGGATGCTCAGCACTTCCAAAAGTCAAGGCCGAAAAGGATGACACAACCGTAAGCAAGAAGCAATGCAGGTTTATAGACACAAATCAGGCTAAACAAACTTAATTGTTTTTTCTGACAAAATTTCAAAATTATTGATTTAAAGAGAAGTAAGGTAGATGACGACTTGCCACCAAAACTGTCATTGCCTTCAACCATTATTATACATCAGACATTTTATTTTGATTGCAAATTCTCCATCATTAGCAAAGCAGCTAATGCAGGCAATCATTACACATCAAGAAATTTGTTACCAGAATGCCCTATATTAAAATCCTGTTGTTATTAATAATTATATTTATATTGCAGTAAGACCCATAGATCCCACCCCAATTGTACTAGGCACAATACAAACGTAACAGAGAGATGATCCCTGCCCTGAAGAGTGTACAATCTGTGGGTCAATGGAGCCATTCTTTTTCTAAAGCCAATTCTTTTTTCTAAAGCCAAAAAGGGAGCATCAGGTATCCAAAGAATATCGGATTGGGCCTGTGTGCAGCAAGAAAAAATGTTCTCTGTGTTCTGGTGACATACTTGTTGTTTCTCTTAGTTTGTGTAACTGCTGTGGTAATGTCTGTGGGTAGTAAATAAAACACCAAGTAAAACATTTGATGTGTAATAGCAATTGAAGTCACAGGAGTGTTGGGTGAACAAGACATGCAGAGCCCAAGTGTCTTGTTTGGCCAAATAATACACTATTAGCCATTTGTTTCAAAATGTTTACCTGCCCCAAAAAGGGTATCTACATTGGATTGGGGTTTTCAGAAGCCATTAAAAAAATGCAATCCAGTACATAAATTCATGTAGGATTAACACTAGAAAATTGTCTTGTTTGGTTTTTAAATAATTTCATTTTTGAGAGTAAAAGAGAAGAGAGAGAAATAGTGACTAGCTTCAATCACTAATATAGGCAAGGGAAGATAGAATAAAATGTACCCATTGTGAACTTTGGTAGTTACTTAGCTAGATGAATGAAATATGAAAACACTGCAATGTCTTTGTGCAAGGCTTAAGGCATGTGGTGAAAGATAAGTGTTTTAACACCAGGCCTGGTTCCGAGAAGCACTGAGTAACAGAAAATCCCATACAGGCATTGTGGGTGCTCAGCACTTGCCAGTAGCAAATAAACCTTGCTGGCAATAAAGTGGGTCATGACATTCTGAAACTTTTGATATTGTGTTATAGACCATTGATGCTTTTGCAAATGATTAATTACCATGTTTCTGTTACAGTGATGAACATGATGCTATCATTTAAAGATACTTCAGAGAAGACATGGGGAAATTCCACCCGATCACTGCTTTTAGAACATCTGTTTGAAAAAGTTTTTTTCCTTTCATATAGTCCCAGTCTCTAATGCATCCATAGATCTGATCCCGCACAGTGTCAAGATCTTCCCAAGCACCCTGAGCTCCCATTTATTTCAATGGGAGCTGGAGGAAGTTAGTACTTTGAGAAACATGCCCTGTTGTTGATGCAATTAAAAAAAAAATCCTTTAAAGTTTGTTACCTAATGATGAACTGAAATGCTTTTTAAAATAAATGCATAGAAACTTTGAGATACCAAATCATTACCATAATATACCACGTGACATTACAATTGTGAATACATTTGATTATTGCCTACATACTCCATAAATGCGGATGGTTCTACCCTGGGTACAACAGGCTGAAAAAATACTAGTTGCAGTTAAGGAAAAATGCAATCGGCTTGGCAAGTAAAATACAAGAGGAACTGACTTTGCTACTATTTTGTATTAAAATGTATTTATTTGTAACTTGAAACTTGAGATGAACTTTTGTTAATGATTTGGGAACCTCAGACTTTGTTTTTTAACAAAAATATTTCAGTTCAGTGCTGATGCAAGTAAAGGGATGTGAGATTGTTCCAATTTATCAAATTACAATTTATAATGTTGTAAACTATCCAGAACAGGATGATAGAAAACGTACTTAAAATATGGTCTACCGATGATCAGTGATCTGTGGGCATATTCCTTGATGGGTCTGCCCAGAGACTACTGTTCATAGTGGGGGGACACAATTTAAACGTTCTGGTGGTATGCAGCGGGGTTCAGGGCAGGGCATATCAACCCTGGCAGAAATCTGAGGGGGCACGTGACCCTATGTGCTTCTTCCACCACATTGTCTCTGGGTCTGCAGAATAAAATATAGTGAGAATCAAGCTGTGGGGAACTGGGAAGGGGAGGAGCTACAGTCTACGCGAGTACTTGTCTCTTATGAAGTGGTCTATAAGTTGAAATGGGCTAGATAATCATTGTAATATACAGGTTTTATTTAGAATTAAATTAGTGGTTCATATCCAGCAAGTCACAATGGTATGATTGAGATAAACTGTATTTTTTTTTAAAGGTTTGCCTCCTACTGTGAATATGAAGATTTCCACTGAAAATTGTTCTAGCTTGAATGTAATTTAAAATCCCTGCTTTGTTTTATTCGGAAGCTTTATACAGGGTTTCTAGTAGGATTTTAGGAAGAGTTGGGAATAACTCTCCAAATGCAAATGGTAAAATATATATCTATGCCCTACATTCTTAGCATTGTTTGCAGGACCTGGTGCTGCTGTACTAACACATTATGAACTAGTCCAGGGATGGCCAACCTGTGGCTCCAGAGCCACGTGCAGCTCTTCAGAAGTTAATATGCGGCTCCTTGCATAGGCACCGACTCCGGGGCTGGAGCTACAGGTGCCAACTTTCCAATGTGCTGTGGGGTACTCACTGCTCAACCACTGGCTGTGCCACAGGCCCTGCCCCCACTCCACCCCTTCCCGCCCCCTCCCCTCAGCCTGCCGTGCCCTCGCTCTCCCCCCAAACTCCTGCATGTCACGAAACAGCTGATTGGGAGGTGCAGGGGGAGAGGGGGAGGTGCTGATCAGCAGGGCTGCCGGTGGGTGGGAGGTGCTGGGAGTGGGGGTGGGAGCTGATGGGGGGACTGCTGATGTATTACTGTGGCTCTTTGCCAATGTACATTGGTAAATTCTGACTCCTTCTCAGGTTGGCCACCCCTGATCTAGTCAAAAGTCCATTGAAGTCAATGAAAAGACTCCCATTGGGTGATATCAATGGACTTTGAATCAGATCTTTGGGAGTCATATGCAAGGGGCCTGAGACTGATTTCTAATTCCCTTCCCGTTTACACTGGCGTAATTGTATTGACTTCAGTGGATGTAGTCCTGATTTACACTGTTATAAGAAGATCCGAGTGAGGCTCAAAGACTACAAATTTGGAGTTCCTTTAGATTATTTCAGCAGCAATGAGCTAATTTTCAGTCCCAGTCAGTTTCCCTTTGCAGCTGGCCCTGTATGGAAAAGTGCCTCTGATGGAGAGCTGCGTTGATGATTACTGCTAACTATAATTCACCATCCAAGACACAACCACATAAATATTAGACCACTATTGAAAAGTTTGCCCAGGGGCATTTTTGCATGCAAGATGGCTAGTAGTGTGTCATGCAGCACTTTGGTGGAAACAGGTCTTATACCAGTTACTATTTTGTTTAGAAATATTTCACTCTTTTAAGTCTTGCACTTTCAGAGGATTTTATTTAAAAAAATAAAAAAAAAATCTGTTCTAAACATAAAATTCTTTCTGTATATGATAAGACCTAGTCCTGCAAACCCTTCCTGCTGTGGGTTGTCCTTACTCACGCACTCCCTTTGCAATCAGTAGAGTTACTTGTTTGAATAGTCCCAGGAGGAAGGGTTTGCAGGGCTATGCCATTAAAACTTTTTTTTTCTCTTGTTTAAAAAAAAAAATTGAAATATTTTAAGTGTTTGTTAATTTCACTGTCTTTTTCTTTTTATATGTATATATAAAGAGTACAGCTAAACTTTACCAGTTTGCAAATCATTGTTCTACAGAATTTTTTTTGTAGTTACCGAGAGTTTTACTGTATTAAGTGCTACTCAGTAGAGTTACTGAGATCCTCTGACCTCTGTTGTGCAGATGAATAATAAAATGAAATGTTTGCCTTTATTACCAGAATGTCAGGTCCAATGTATTTTTGGTTTTATTAAACAGTGTTTTAATTCCTTAAGAATCATTCCCAAAAAAATGTTGGATGAAAATGTCAATTTACAATATACAGGTGTTTAAAATGATCCGCTTTTTAGATGGTAGAACATGAGAGTTTAATTTTTTGCCAGAACTTCTGCAGTTTAAAATACATTTTATTTTGTTTGGAGATTGTGTGGGGAAAACAATAGTAATGTTTGCAGTTAAGATGTAGCAGTAAATGATGCAAAGGAAAGTTAAATTCCTTTTGGAGGGGGGGTATACTGTAGAAATTGAAAATTGAGTCCTACTCACCATTAAGGTTCAGAATTTAAATTCTAATGAAAGGGAAATGGATTTCAGCCTTATGATCAGTTGACGGTTAAAATAATACTAGTCAGATAATGACAGAACTCTTTGCTGTACCATAATATGTATAAAGTACATACATAGACCTCAGTCCTGCAAGTTGCTCCATGTTTGTGGTCACTTGTACCCAGGTGCAGCTGGGCTTGAATTCAGTGAGACGCCATGTGGATGCAGGGGTCTACCCATATGTAGTAACTTGAAGAATCAGGGCCTTAAAATTCACAGTTATTTAACTAACTTGATTGTCTGAACATTGCTAACCCTCTATGCCTATCCTATGGACACGCAGCTGTGGCAAAAATCCCAGCCCTGTGCTTAGCCCTCTAGGCTGTGTTGTCTTATTGTAACTTATCTACTCTGGAAATGTTATAGCTGCATTACGAGAGCATACAATAGAAAGTTCCCAAGATCTAACAATGCATCCATTCTGGAAATGTTATACAGAATATGCAGGTAGTCTCTGAGTTGTAAAACTGGTTGCCTTATAATGAAATACAAGATGTTGAAGCCTCAATTCAACAAAACGCTTAAGCACATGCTTAACATCAGTGGGATTTATGCACATATTTACATGCATTATTGAATCAGTGTCTAAGAAAACTAGAATAAACAGTGGCTCAATCTCGCTGCACAATTATTTTGGACCTCCCTCCCCCTGGAAGGAGAATAAGAAGTTGAAAGATGTTCTTCCTTTTGTCATCAAGTACTCTTGCCTTTCAGAATCTGTTATATAATACTCACCATGGCCCCCTAAAATAAGTTGCCTTGAAAGTTTAAGTGCTGCCTAGCATCCAATGTGTTTTTAAAAAGGGGGGGGGAGAAAGAAAACTACAGTGCAGGCATATTTGAGATTTTAAATTCTCATAGCTATTCAAATGACTTCCTTCAGTCTTGGCTTGAGCTTTTGATCTCAATGTGATGTACAAAGTGAGCCTATGGTTTACCTTCAGACATTATTCAAGTTACCTGTATGGGGGGGAAAAACAACATTTTGGATTTTTTCCCACACTGGTAACTTACAAAAGGGCAATCTGTTTTTGCCCAACTTCCATTTAATAAAAAATAAAAAAATTGGACTAAGACCAAAAGTGCAAAATTGGACCACAGAAGGAATCTGAGAATTATGGGTATCTGTGGATGTTGTAATAATGCAAAGAGTTTTCAAAGCCAACAACAAAAAATGGGCAGGGCTAGAGTTCATGAGTTATTCCAGGGTTTTTTTAACCCCTGCATGTTTGCCTTATTTTTCTTTTGTAAAGTGTTTATGCTTCACTTAAACTAAATTCACCTTTTGTCATAGCCTGAAAATTCTGCTCTCCATTATATACACAGCAGGAGAACAGGATTGCAACTGAATTACATTATGCAGGTTTCAGAGGACATCTTTCCTCAAAACAAAAGGCTATCCCGTCTAACTCGAATTATCATGTGATTTTTAGAAACTGTTTGCAATTTTCATTCTTCAGCTTTATCATAATGAAATCTATCAGGCTAAACCTTAAGTTGAAGCTAGCTGCTGTGATTTTTTTCCTCTGACTGCAAGTGTTCTTGTAGGCCTCTATTTAATCTTGAGGCATGTACTTGCATAGCTGTTTCACCCTGCTGCTCTATTTTTATCTTCTTGAAATGGAAAATTACTGACTTGTAACTTTGCTTCTCTGAAGATAGTATAACAGGATGCTCACTTCTGTGTTTTAGCTTCCTAGGGCAAAACCTGAAGCATATCCCCAAACTGTTAAGATTATGAGCCCCTAAACCATTGTAAGAGTGGGGAGCAAGAGCCTAGTTTAAGTAGCAGTTGCACACCATCTGTTCAGCTTAACCTCTGACCTTGGAGCTT